CTCGACGATCCACTTTGAAAATCTTAGTATACTGCTACTTAGGCTACTGATCTGTAGCCAACTCCGGACAAATTAGAAATAATAAAATTAAATTAAACGCTTTACTTGAAAATGCCGGCAGATATTTCCACGATGAACTAAACGCGACAATCATAACATTGCGAAATTCTGGCAGTGACACTGCTGATCAGAGTAAAACGCTGGCTAAATCTTGGCAGTACAGTAATGTCTCTCTAATTGACGCTCAGATTGTCCACAGAAATGGACAATTTGGGGAGAGGAGAATACGATTGTTCGAGCCTTGTAGCTCGTTTTTTATGTTTATCGATTGTTATCAACTATAAAAACGAGCCGCGAGTCTCGAATAATCGTGTCTCCTCTTCCCAAATTGTCCATTTTTGTGGACAATCTGAGCGTCAGTTAGGGAGACATCACTGTATTTTCAAGATCCCCGGTGAAATAGCGTCATTCCGTGTTTTGTTTTTCACCACAAGAGACCGTTTAGCCAGCGAAATAAATATTTTCGTATCTCGGTTTCCATAAAACAGTGCACGAAGATAGTAATTTGCATAAAGCATCGCGTCCAGTTATTACTATAATAAATCTCGTCGTTCAGCCTTATAAATTACAGTATTTTTGCGAGTGTTGATTTCGTAGCGAAGTATTAAAATACATTACCATTTAAAAGAACTTTAAACGATTCAAGGATAGAACCACTATTTTCCATCGAACAAAAGACTCTGAGAGCCTGGCGACTGTACGGGCTGCAGAAAAGTGGTTAATTCTTTCGACTGCATTTGCACATATCTCAGCCCGCAAGAAAACACTTAGAATCGCAAGAAACACGTTCCATTACAAAAGTTAGACTGCAGTTAATCCCTTGGGTGCAGTTAGTCCCTTAATTTAACTTTGAGGATAATGCGCGCGCGTTGCTCGATAACATTTATTACAAATTTAATTGTGTCCGAATACGCCATTTTATTTGATCGATTTCTCCATTTTTCGTTAAATGAAAAAATTACGCAGAAAATCATTTAATAACAGCATAAGAATAGGCAATTTTTAGACTAGATTTTTTAATTTCGCAGATCACTGAACGCTTTTTCCACCGGGAACCAATTAATAAAATTTTCAATTATTCTGCCATACCGAGAGGAAACTTAAAATTCTGTTTCTACGTGACAATATTAAACGAAATTATTCGTTTATGTTTTTAGAGAAGATTACTTGTTGTACGATTGAAGTTGCTATTTCCATCGAACGATTCGTTGACAAGTTCTTTATCGAAAATTATAGATATAAAATTATTAGGCAAAATAATATAAAATCAAATTTATAAATAATTTTATAGAAGAATTATAGAAGAATTTATAAAATATCTTTATAGAAGATTCTCAAAAATAACGAAATTTTCAGCGGCAGATAATCTGTCAGAGAAGTTAAGCTTCGTATTCGATCGGAAGCTCTCTGTTCCTGTCTCTTATACACATCTAGATGTGTATAAGAGACAGGAACAGAGAGCTTCCGATCGAATACGAAGCTTAACTTCTCTGACAGATTATCTGCCGCTGAAAATTTCGTTATTTTTGAGAATCTTCTATAAAGATATTTTATCTGTCTCTTATACACATCTAGATGTGTATAAGAGACAGATAAAATATCTTTATAGAAGATTCTCAAAAATAACGAAATTTTCAGCGGCAGATAATCTGTCAGAGAAGTTAAGCTTTGTATTCGATCGGAAGCTCTCTGTTCTCTCTTTGCAAATGTTTCCATACCAAGAGGAAACTTAAAATTCTGTTTCTACGTGACAATATTAAACGAAATTATTCGTTTATGTTTTTAGAGAAGATTACTTGTTGTACGATTGAAGTTGCCATTCCCATCGAACGATTCGTTGATAAGTTCTTTATCGAAAATTATAGACATAAAATTATTAGGCAAAATAATATAAAATAAAATTTATAAATAATTTTATAGAAGAATTATAGAAGAATTTATAAAATATCTTTATAGAAGATTCTCAAAAAGAATGAAATCTTCAGCGGCAGATAATCTGTCAGAGAAGTTAAGCTTTGTATTCGATCGGAAGCTCTCTGTTCCCCCTTTGCAAGTGATTTCGCGGTGTTGTAATTCGTCTTATGGAATGCGCGGTGCGTGCAAACGGCTTCGATCTTCGAACGAGAATCGTTGTTCAACGCTTCATTGCCACCGGGGAAAGAACGACTCGCCACAATGGAGCGTCGCGATTCGACGTAAGAACTCGTCGCGGAATGAATCGCGACGTGCAACGTGCACCACCGGGGCCCCTTTCGGCTGGAGTCGCATCCCGGCCGATGTTAATCCCGCGGGGAAATGGAAATGGACGGTCACCGAGGAATAATTTAAACGATTTATAAAAAGCTCGGCGGCCGCGTAACACGTGGACGCGTGAATGCAATATATTACGGCGGTGCAATTGCCGTTCCAGTTACGTCAAGAATGCTACTCGACCGCGTTATTCACGTATACGAACGCGGACTCATTTCGGAAACATTGACGAATACCTCCGGGAGGGGTGAAATAAGAGGATTGATTAAGATCGGCATGTGCACTTTCTACTTTTCCGAGGAAGGTCGGCTTGCTAGCTCTGCCTGCTCGATTATTTATTCACCCTTGAAGGATTAGAGTACTTCCCGGTGAGGCGATATTTATGCGAAAATAGCATTCTTTTTTTTTCAGTCGCTCGCACGAAATATAAGTTAACGTCAAATATACCGTCGTGCCGGTCGAAATGACCGGTTCCGCGGTTTTTTGCAATTAATTAATTAGCTTTATCGGTTCCCTTTCGAGTTCTTCCGCAAACTATCTCTATAACTATAATTTAATTCTATTATGACTGCTTTTTTTCATCTATGAATCTCACTGGTCAAAATGCCATAAATTTTGCAATTTATAGACATACAATGAATAATATATAATATAAAATATAGTATAATATTTCAGATTTAAAAGAATAATTCAACAAATACATCTTTGGAATTCTACAGCCTTTGCATTTTTCTTCACTGCATTTAGTGTTACCCTGCCTCTCCGTTTCTTCATTTTAAAATTGTTGAAATTGTGAAAAGTCTGAAACACATTGTATTAAATTTAACAAAATGTCGAAATAAATTTAGTCTTGTAATTAATTGCAATGGCAACAGCTGTCAGCCGTCTTTAGTGTTCGGTGGGTTTAGTGTTACATAAAAACCATCTTTCACCTCCATAATTACTTTTCTTTACCCTTAATAATTTACTAGATAAAGAACACAATTTAATTAAACTTTGATAATGCAATAATACAATTTTAATATATATTAAATTATTATATATTAAAATAGTTAAATTATTACATATTATGATAATTAAATTATTACATATTCTGGTAATTAAATCATTACATATTTTGATAATTAAATTATTATATATTATAATAATTAAATATATTAATAATAACATTACTATAAATAAACCAGTAGAACCTGTTCGTTTCACTATACGTTAGCATGCAAATCATTTTCAAACTCGTTCTCACCGATACAGTTTCCTTCGCATGCACTAGAAATGAAATCGAACCTCATCAAGCGTTCGAACGTAATTCTCAAATCCCACCGACGTCTCGTCGAGTTTTCGAGTACACGCCGACTCGTTTTCGTGGTTGAACGCGAGTCGAGCCCGCGGCCGCGTACGATAGTTGAAACAAATTCGGGCCAGCGACCGGTTCTAATTTCTTTCGCGAAACGCCGCGTTTGTCAGTGACACGCGCAGAAAGCGTGCCGAACGAAGCTCCGACGCGAACGGCAAGCCGCGGCGGCGTTGTCCCGCTATTGTTGCCGTAAGGAAACACGTTCGCCGAAAGAATGAATAATTGTCGGAATGTATTATTCATTAACGTTGAATAATGCACGGTAAATTCCTTTCTTCCTCATCGCCGCTAAGCGTCATTAAACGGGACCCCGCGTCGCCTTCGTCGCGAAATATCTTCATCTCCGGAGGTCGCATTTCATTCGTATGCACGCCGCGTTCTTCGAGAAATCTGTTATTTCTGCACGCGTCCATCTCTCCTCGCGCAGACCAGAGATCATTGAAACGCGTTCGCGAAGTCGCTGCTCGGGGTTCCGCGACTCCTTCGTTCCCCTAATTACCAGAGACTCAATGATCTTGCTTGCGGAGCGCCGCGAAATCGACGTCGCGCTGCAAATTTTTAGCCGCGACGCTTCCCGAAATCGGGAAACCCGAGACCTAGAACGACGCGACGGTTCTCTCCGAACGGTTCCGGGGTTCCACGACTCCTTCGTTCCCCTAATTACCAGAGACTCAATGATCTCGTCTGCGGAGCGCCGCGAAATCGACGTCGCGCTGCAAATTTTTCGCCGCGACGCGTCCCGAAATCGGGAAATCCGAGACCTGGAACAACGCGACGGTTCCGGGATTCTATGACTCCTTCGTTCCCCTAATTACCAGAGACTCAATGATCTCGTTTGCGGAGCGCCGCGAAATCGACGTCGCGCTGCAAATTTTTCGCCGCGACGCGTCCCGAAATCGGGAAATCCGAGACCTGGAACAACGCGACGGTTCCGGGATTCTATGACTCCTTCGTTCCCCTAATTACCAGAGACTCAATGATCTCGTTTGCGGAGCGCCGCGAAATCGACGTCGCGCTGCAAATTTTTCGCCGCGACGCGTCCCGAAATCGGGAAACCTGAGACCTAGAACGACGCGACGGTTCTCTCCGAACGGTTCCGAGGTTCCACAACTCCTTCGTTCCCCTAATTACCAGAGACTCAATGATCTCGTTTACGGAGCGCCGCGGCTCGTGGAATCGACGTCGCGCTGCAAATTTTTAGCCGCGACGCGTCCCGAAACCGGGAAACCCGAAGACCCGTTCTCTCCGTTTTTCCCGGTCGTATCGCCGCCGTCGCCCTTTAGATCTTATTATCGAGGGCCCCCGCGACTTACGTGCGCCGCATTGTTCACAGTTGACAAAACGTGAAACGGCGAGAGGACGAAAAGAGTACGCTGCGACGCCGCTGCCTAGAAATCTGGACTCCTCCGTGCGGCACTCGAGGAGAATCCCGAAGCATCGCAGATACAAAATCTCGGGAGGTCCGACACAATAAGTTCCAGCGACGCCCGGTTGAGGAAGACCGGAGGTCGCGTAGGAGGCGGAGGAACACGAGAAAAAGAGGAAGAAGAAGAAGAAGAAGAAGAGGAGCAGCAGGAAGACCGACGGCGGCGGCAGAGGAAGAGGAGGAGGAGGAGGAGGAAGCGGAGAGGATACATGTCGTGACACAATTTCCGGCGCGTACGTGTGCTGTTCGCTAGCCGCAGATTCTGCAGTTTATTACAAATCGAAGAAGGAAGAGAGGGCCGAACCGGTGCACCCCTCCCCCCCATTTGCCGGCGCACCCCGGCCCCCTTTTCAGTCACGCCGAGCCAATACTCGTCCGCTGCGACACGGGCCGCCCGCTCGAATTAGCTCGCAAAAGGATCCCGATCCACTTCTACGCGCGCAAGAGTATATTTCGTTACGGTTAAACGCGGCTTAATTGGCCGCGACCATTACGCGTCCGCGGAGGGTGGGGCGCCGCGACACCGTATTCAAATTTTCATTCGATAAAGGAGAGACGCGCCCGAGCGAGCGAGGGCGGCCGGGGCTCTCCCCTTTTATCGCGAGCAGTTGAACGGCAGCCAGGGACCCGGGCTGGCGGGTAATTAAAAGGAAGAAAAAACGAAGGGAAACGGGATCGAGGAGAGAGCCAAGGAGCAGGATGTATCCCGGCATGACGCAAAGGCGGCGACGTTAAGAATATTCATGAAAAAAACAGTGGAAAGCTTGCGCCCTAAAGGATCGCCTTTCTCATTCAAAACAGCAAGAAAGAAACGCCGGGGGAACGAGCTCTCCTCTCTTCTTCGCTGGTGTCGGCTCTTCATGCAAAATACGTTGTCTCCTCAGCCGAGCTAGAGCCGGGCCGAGGAACGTTGCGACACGTGCGCCAGCCACGACTAATTAACGATTAGACGACGCGGCTGGGAGGGGCCAGTTCTCTCTCTTTTCTCTCTTTCCGAGAGATCGCGAATTATTGCGTTCGAAGCCGGAAATCGACGGACGAGCGACTCGATTTTTGTTCTTCGCGCGGTGAACGGACCGTACCGCCGCGATTGATAATCCGCGGTTCGGCCGAGCACGAAGCGGTCCCGATTCTCGAAAAGATCGGCCGGCGAGAGATCCGGTAAATCATCGAAGCTTTTTGCGTGTTATCCGTGGGGAAGCACGGCGAAAGGGAACTCGGCGCGGTAAATCGTGGACGGTGGCCGGGCGGAGCGCATAGCTAATAGGAAGCCGGGCTTAAATTTTGAGAAAGAGCAGGCGGCGCGCGCGCGCGCGCCCTCGCACATCCGTTACGTCACTTTGTCGGGAACACGGCGCATAGATTATGGTAATCGCCGGTGATCCGGCCTTGTCGAAGCTCAAAGTCGAGCGGAGAGTTCTCGCCGGAGCTCGTTAGAAAATTGAATTCGACTCCCGAGTTACATCGGCGCGTACCACGGTGTCCCGGTAATTGATCGTACCTCGGATAAACGCGCGTGGATCCGGGATCTCTATGACGATTTTACAAACCTGCCGGGAGGAGGAAAGTTCGTGCGCGGCGGAACAGCGAGTTCGCCGGCGGCGATCGTAATTGGAAAAAGATCGGATCGCTGTTACGAGTTGATCCGGAGTCGGTGAATCGTGTGCTTAGGGAGCGCGCACCACCACCCTGCGCCGTCGACGATTCGGACGGCAGCCGCGATCGCGGAATTCTTATTCGCAATTTCACGTGCCAGATACTCGAAAAAGTTTGCCCGCCTTTCGAGGAGTTGTCGCGCGATCGGGAATCCTCGACAGATCGAGCCGACGGCGAGGAGGCCGCCGCCGGGCTGCGGCAGGTGGGAGGCGTTCGTTTCAGTGAAAACAAGCTGTCGGGAGGAACGAGTCCTCTCTTTTTATCTTTCAAAACGGTGGAAAGCAAGTCACGAAAAACGGCGAACCACTACGGCGTCCACTATACGGGCTCGTACGCGTACAGCAACGGGGCGCCGAGCGTGTACAGCAGCTATCCGGCGAACGGCGGTTTCGTCCACCAACATCATCTCCATGAGGACTACCGGCCGATTTACTTTTACGTAGCCCAGCCCTACACTATCCCGTACACGTTCGCCAGAAGACCAAGGCCGTCCTCGCTGCTGAGGCCCGGCAAACCTCCTCGCAGCAGCAACTGCCGCGTCAAGTTCTCCAAGAGGCTCGGCAACGCCGACTTCTCGCAGAAGGTCAAGCAGGGCGAGTTCTCGAGGAGTCTCAGCCAGGTGCACTTCGTCGAGAGCCAGGGACAAGGTACGTGCGAGACTTGTTTCTTCGTATCCTTTTCCGCGTCACGACCACACCTCGGTTTTCACCCTGTGAGCCGTCGATCGGCCGTCGGCCAGATCTCTTTTTGGCTGCGGATCAAAATCAAACGACGTTAAATCATTGGGATAAGGACGATTCTCGACGATCTTTTTTGTAACGTTAAACATCGATGAAAGTTTTCGTCACTGTTCATGCGTGATGAAGATTCAAGTTTTCTTTTTACGGAAAAATCACGCTTTTATTTTCTGAACCGCGTATCATCGTTATTTTTGCACTTCTTTTCTTTATAAAAATTTATACTATGAACGAGGCTTTAGAAGGTTCGTTCGACGCGCAATTTTATTATGAAAAAGACCACGTTTCAGTTTTTGTTCCGCGTCGAAGGAAGAACATGTCCGTCGTCGACCGGATGGTCCGGGAAGAACAAGATTCGTCGTTTCGATAAACGTCGAGAAAATGAAACGACAAAAAACTACGTGCACCTTGAAACATCGTAGAACACGCATGGAAAGTGACGAGAAGTTTCCTCGACGTTTCACGTTATCAAAAAATTGCGGAGAATCGTTCGAGCGGTTTTACGGCGGGGGTCGAAGCAAGTCCTCCGAGTTCGAGCGCGAACTAAAATCGAAGTGACGCGGAATTGGGCGCGAGGTATCACCCGCTAGCATTCGAAAGTGTCCGTGGAATTTTTAAAAGGTCGAATTTTTCGCCGATGGAAGTCGACGCGTCGGCCGGATCCGCGCGCCCGCGTCGGCGAAAACGAAATTGCGTCGGAACAATGGGGGCAATTGAGCGTCGGGGGTCGTTGATTTTTTAGATTAGACAGGGAAGAACGCGGTTTCGGAAAATGGAGAAGGAAAAATGATTGTCGAAATGTCGAGCGGCGGTTCGCTTTCGAGGCGCTTTCACGCCGGCGGATTTTTCTAGCAGACCGGATAATTGTTGCGAAAGCGGCATAGTTTCTGTGGCATAATTTAAATAGTTGCTGTCGTCAAGTAGACTACCGATGCCTACGCGCGGAGAGCGTCCTGTTCCCCCTGTACAGAAGCGTGCAGAACCGCGGCGCGGCGCGACGGCCGCCGCGGCGGGTTCGCTGGAAAGAGAAACCGCATCGGGAGAAAGGAACATTCTCCAAATATGAGGTGTCATTTCAAAGGCTTGCCGAAGAAAAACCTCGATCGTTTGGATAACGCGTCTGCATGCGTCGATCGGGTCGCGTGTTTTAACGCGAAAAGAAACGGGATTCTTGGGAGATTTAACGAGCGCGCGGTTCGAGGCGAACAGGAGCACGTCCGACAACATTTCTCCACGTATCCTGGCCAATTCTGATACTATGTAACGACTATTGCTTCCTATTCGAGCTGGACAGAGTTGTACTTCGTGTTTTATGCAAACTTCGTTTGTCGATAATTATTATTTGCGTATAACAAATTTATTCGCGTATGCGGCTACAACTCTTTCTTAAAAAAAAGAAGAAAATAAAAAAGATTTCATATAGCCGTCACACGAGTGTCCAGAAAGGATGGGACCACAATTATAGCATGTGTTACTGAAGTCAAAATAGATGAAAAAAAGATTTATATAAACTTATATTTGAAAATACTTTATCGTAAACATAGGAGTCGGTCGCAAGCTTTTTACTTCTTTTAATAATTATAATAAGTTCGAATCGATACGTCCACGTTATTGGTTTCTTCTAATATTTTCGTTGTTTTAACCCTTTGCACTCGAGCGGCGACTCTGAGGCGCCATTAAAAATTGCTACACTATTATTCTAAATGATTGTAACAGTATCAGATTCGTTAATAATTTTATATATAAACTGCTATACTATTAAAAAAATACTATTTAAAAACTGCTATACTATTATAAAAAATTGCTATACTATTATTCTAAATGATTGTAACAGTATCAGATTCGTTAATAATTATATATATATATATATATATATATATATATAATCGCAATT